GGCTGTTGATAAACAAGAAGACCGTTTTCAAACAGCTACTATCATTAGCACTGTGAAGGCAAACAGAACTAATATTCTAGGAGTTTGGTCTTTTTTTCCTGGCCCTGGTATCACAGATTGCATTTTGAATTTTTCAAAACCCGCTGCAGTTTATCTTTTCTTTTTTCTCCCCCGGAACTGAATCTTTGTTTCTTTAAGCACACAAACATACTGCCTCCTACCAAAAGACACAACACAACTCTCTAATTGCAACTGAAATCTATATTAGGTGAAAAAAAAAAAGCAAACCACACATGGTTATTTAACTTTGCCTATAACCACATACATAAGGTGAGGTTGTTGAAATAACACCATATCGGCTTCAACATAGGGAATTCTTTGGCAAGAAAATTGAATGAAGGAAGGGAAATTACCTTCTTTATGAAAAAGCCACAGTTAGTGATAGCCACTGGTCAACTTCCAAATAAAGCTTATTTGTTTGTTGTTTTTTTCTAATCCTACCCAACAAAGAATTAAAACCCCTATTTCGAACTTTAGTTTTTCCTCTCTTCTAGGATGGCGGCCAAACTCCACAAAATAAAAACCAAAGAAAATGGTGATAATTATGCAACATTCAGAACAAAGAACATAAGGATATATTTTTTAAATGATTCATTATGCATTTATGCCCATAATGGGATTTTAACGCATTTTAAAAATAAGTGTGCTGGCTCACTCGGCTTCTCACGCAAATGAAACGAAGGGAGATGAGTAACTCTGAGACAGGTTTTCTTTTCTTCAGAAGTGTGAAGCCAAACCATGGCACATACAGAAATTTACAGAGACAAAGCAACACAGCCAGCGACGTACGCTACGGGTAAACCATGGAGACCAACAAAGCCTACATCAAGTCGCAATTTCACGTGATGGTTCCCTTCCCATTTTACTCACCAAGTCTCAGCAGCTTCGAGACAGCTTGAGAGGCCGGAAGGGAAGAGAAATTCTAGCCGCACAAGATTCTCAGGGAAACTTTGGGAATTATATTTCCGCTACATGTCTATAAAAGATTTGTCGGACACATAACTCTTAGGACCATAGACGCAACATGTTCCTATCTCATTTGTATACCCACACACATACTTGTTTCTCTTTGTCTCACTGAGCCTGACATTTGGCCAGCAGGTTTTTCTCCCCCTTATTTGAAACCTCAAACACTAAAAAAATTTGGATCTGATTATTTCCGGATCACAGGACCAGCACTTTAAAATGGATGAAATGCAAGCAAATTGCCTACCAGAGCCGGAGGGGGAAAATGCTTTAAAAATAACTCATACCTTTCTATTATTGCTATTATGCCAGCATCCCAAACCTCCCCAGAACAGCACAGTGGCTTCCTACTTCGATGATGAATCTCAGCCAGGTAACACCACCAAAATCATCACATCTTGCTCTCCGATACCACCCACGCACACATGCACATAACCTACAATTGTGTTACTTTTTTTTTTTTTTTGAGAAAAAAATAGCTTATAAGATTGACTACTTTTTCTCATTTACAGGCATGTTATAGTGGCTGCTTTTCCTAATGGCAGAGTTCACATTTGTTGTGATCACTGGTCTCCTTTCTTGCTGGGATGTATCCAGCCTTGGTACTTGGTGAAAAGGGTCTAGAAAGTCTATGTGAATTAATGACCTCATTATCTGGCTTGGACAGATGGGATCATCTGGTTAACTACAAAGTCTTCCAGACATGCCACAGAGTCTAGTTACCAATTTCCAAAGATCCAAGACAGGAGAAAGAGCAAAACTAAAAAGAGTTTTTAACTTTCTGGAAACATTTGGAGGTTCTTGGTTGCAAACGGCAGCTTTGAGCTGCCTGCACACACATACACACACACACACACACACACACACAGCTGGTACAAGTGTGAAACCAGAATCAAATATTTGGAGCTAGAAGCCTTGGAATATGCCACTCATTGCCTGGAGCTCTGAGCAAACCCCCTGAACCTCCATGTGTGCATCTATAAAATGGGAGCCACATCAGGAAGAGTCAGAATCTGCTCCTTACTTCATAGGCAGAAAGCACTGCTCCATCTGTTCCCTCAGAAGAGCCCACAAGATAGGCAGAGCCAGATGAGGGAAGGTATGGGAACAGGCTCTGAAAACTAAAGCACTAGGCAGAGAACACGCGTCATCGGCCATCACCACAAAGCTGTCCGCCCGTGGGAAGCCCAGATGTTCACCTTCTTCCCTGTCAGGACTTACAAAAGCAGCATCGGGTGTTTAATAATAAGAAAGAAAAATGCAGCATCTGGAGGTTTGGCCTTCCCAGCTGTTTGGAATCTGGATAAGCGGGACTCTGCCATAAACAGATCGTGATTCTTATTGTAAATGATGACAACGTTCGTCCATGACGTGAACCATCCCCCGTGCCTTCTAATCCCGATCTGAAAACACACAGGACCCCAAATATGTATGGATAAATTCTGGATACAGGATCTCATCCCTTCCCCTGCTTGGGATCTGTACAAGGCAGAAGCCAGACCAAGTTACTGGGCAGCAGGGCCACAGAAGACCTGAAGCAAGGCACCTCTCATGCTTCCCACCCCTGGCATAGAATTGGTCTCCTTCACATTCAACATTTTAAAAAGCAAATCTTCCTTGCTTCTCATTCTACCCCGTTCACAGCAAGTATCACTGTGAAACCCAGCACAAATGAACAAACACGACCTCCTCTACCTTTTTTGTTTATAAAGTATTCATTCAACCCTTGTTTTATTTAGCCTGTGAGGTCAGCATTATTACCTCTCATGCAAATGGAAAAACCAGAGGTTGAAAACATTAAACACATTACAAACCCTAAGTAACCAGGCACCATGATGGTCCTTCCTCATTATTTCTCACTAATACTGTCATCAGACTTTCCAAGTCCGTCTCAAGGGTAAATCTACTGTAGTCGGAGAACCCAAGGCTCAGAGGAATAAAATTACTTCTCCCAGCATCACACACATGGGGAAGAGGGCTCTTAACGTATCCAGCACAGGCAATAAATATGTTTCAATTGGTATTTCTGTCCGTTTCCAATAAGCCTGAGAGCTGGGAGCTAGGCACTACACTGAAGGTCATGTGGCATGGCAACTACTGTGGTGCAAGAAGGTGCAGCAGGAAGGTGTCCCCTCCTTAACAGCATTTCTGAGGGTGCTGCAGAGACCTGCTGGTTTTCTCCCAGGCTGCTTCCCTCTACTGAGGAACGTGGCTGCAGAGACACGGAGGCCTCAGTGCCCACACCTCCCTTTCTCCAGGATCCAGATTATGCCAGAGCTCTGGCTTTCACAATGCCTGACCCACTGGGTGGCCTTCTACATACCACACATTTCTCCCACCAAGGGCCTCAGTTTCCTCATCTTGCAAATGCCGGTGATAAATCCCACCCACCAACTATACTGGGAGGCTGAACTGAAAAAACAACAGTTTAGCAGCCTCTTGGAGAAAATGTAACCAGAGACCAACTAGAGGTACAAATAAAGGAGCGCTTTCTCCCATCCCTTTATTCTCCTCTGCCCTTTGCAAATGCATCCCAATATAAAGATTTCGTATTCTAAACACTGGGCAGCAGGGTACAGATACAAATAACTTGGGTTTGGAGGACTGGCAGTGGGAATATGGAACATAAGGTACAGATAAAAAGTCTCTGACCACAGTATGGAATAATGTCCATCACTATCTGAGATGTAAGGTGTGACTTAAGACACGACAGAATGCAGTAGGGTGTGGACGCTAAGGGAGGACTGCGTCCTGGAGCAGGGCAAGCCAGGGAGCACAAGCAGCAAATCCTCACTCACGCTCCCATCTTGCTGAGGGGCACTTCCCTCTGGGAAGAGAGACCTTGCATGTGTATTCCAGCAAAAACACTCTGCAGGCCTTTCCGGTATCTGTGCTTCCCAAACATGGTCTTTACGTCATGGGTAAGAAAGTGACACTTAAAAGAAGACAAGAAATATCTCCCTCCGACAAAGTCAGGTGTTTTCTTTAAAAACAAAAACTTGTGCACATTTATTTCATTTGACTAGGCCCAGAAATGGGCAGCAAATTGGCAGGCCTTGTCTAAGGTGCAGGGCTGATGAGGAGATACTGTTTTTGTCTGCCTCGGAAATCATCTGGACAGAATCAAAAGGTCCCAAGTGCTGAGATAATCAAACACCAATGCTTTGGTTTCTCCCAAAGGGGGTGAGGGGGCAGACATGGCACTTTAATAATTTCTCAAATTCCTGGTTAATTATCTGTCAGCATGAAACCTATAAAAAAAGGCTCAATAATAATTAACTGGGTGAGAGGAACACTTTTGTGAGGATATTGCCATCCTGGCTCAAGCCCCTACCCACACTGGGCCACCCTCTCTTCTCCAGCCTCACTGGTAGCTGGGGGCACTTTACTTCTGGCCATGCCTATGCTTCTGAAGCACCAACTACAGAAAAGCCAATTTTTCAGTCAAGACTTGATTCATGCTGTATTATAGAGTCAGATAATTTTCCATCCAGAATCTAGAAATCATCTAATATAATAAATTCCTCCCTTGACAGATAGGGAAACTGAGGTCCCAAGAGGGGTGGGGTCCTGCTAAAGGTTCCTTCTGTTTTTTGTTATTCACAGAGATTGGAATACTTCAAAGTATGCACTTGGCTGCTCAGAAACAGCTACGCGACTCAGGAGTTGCTAACTCCTAACACACAATAAAATGTTGATGGTTCACACAACTTTTATCAGAAACATACAGAAGCAAAATTATGTAATTTGAGCTTTCTCCACACACTTTTCCCCCCAAACATGCTTATTGAGTTTAAATTAGATGCTTCCGAAAGCAGGCATCATTTTATACTTGACAAGCGAATCCCACACAATTACAGAGAAATCGAGAAACTCGGGAGAAAGTTCCCAAGTATCCCTTCAAGGCTCGGGCGAGGCGGGGCCGAAAGACTCTCCACACCCGCGGCCCAGCACGTGGGCAGGGCCGGACTCACCCTTCCCGGCGGCGGCGGCCTTGGCCTGGCTGTAGTCTCGAGGACTCCGGGCC